ATGTGATGCATGTTAAATATAGACAAATTGTTTTTCTAACTATTGTGTTGTAGGAAAGATTTATAAACTTTCCTTAGTAATTTCACTGCATTAATTAGACCAACTACACAGAGTGGGCATGGTAGAAAGTTTTATTGAATGTCCAAACATAGATTTTGATTCCCTTTCATAGCAAAAAGGGCATAAAGATCTATAAGTAGAATGCTTCAATGACAAATTAAGCCTCTAATATATACAATATTGCATGTCAATTGTATTCTAATTTACCATTCAAAAGGGTAGAGATTATAGCAAATAGTTTGTTTAGCTGTTTGACAGAATATAGAATTCAGATTTGTGTGAAAAAAATCATAAATTGACAGCATTTGTGGGATTTTGTGTAAGAGCATTTCCAACCGAACGTCAAACGTGCGTATAGTGTCGTTCAATTGCTCCAGCCGAACGTCAAATCTTCCGCCATTTACTTGCGGGTTAACTGTGCGACGTCAATATTGACGTTGCACTGTTCACCCACGCTATTTTGCTCTGTCAACCGGATTTGGCGAAAAATGCGTGAAAGGGGAGAAGGATCGTTATCTTTGCAGAAGCTCCTAAAATGGAGTTCGATTGGAACAGAATTACGGCATTTTAGAGTTTTGTTATATTTTGCCATGAAAAATGGAGTTCTCGGTTGGAGATGTCATAGGGCTTTCTTCCTGTTTTGTGAAGTTATTATAGAAAAAATAATTTTTTAAAACTATTATAGGACGCAACTTTCTAATACAAATTTTCACCAATTATAATTTCAATTTAGGAGAATGTGATAATTGATGTCACCAAGACATTTATCTTAGAATGTTCTAGAAGTGGCAGGAAGATTAGCATTCATAAGCTGATGATATGACTACTAATATTGGGCTTATATGTGCAATATGAGGCTTGACTTAGGTCAAATAAGGTCAACCAATTGTGTTAACCTAACTTTTAACACAATTAGGTTAACCTAATTAGTTAAATAGTATGGATTAGTTAAATAAGAAAAAACTAAGCTTAGGGAAATCACATATTTAACTAATCCAAACTCATTGAAATTGGTTTTTACTTTTTTTTTTTATAATTTTAAGCTTTTTTCTTTATTTTCTTAATTATTTAAAAGGCTATTTAATGCTTGATAATTCATTTTTATTATTTCTTTTAAATAGATCTTAGAGCACTAACCACAATATAAAGATGATCAGAATATTAATTTCAAAAAAAAATACAAACATTAAAAAAAAAAGAGCTCAAGAAATTAAGTCGAGCACGCGCGCGCCTATACAATTTTTTAACGAGCTGAGCTCAAACTTACTAAATGAGCTTATGAGTTGATAATATATAATCATATTTTCATAGATGAATAATTTTTTAATCCATATACCACATTTATTATACTCAAGTTGACCAATAGTTAACTTTTGTATGAAAATATTTTTTTCATATAAACCCTTACAATTTATTTATTACCTGTGTTTTGGACTTAAAGTCACTTATTTCAAATATTTAGATTTATTTTTTAAAATAATTATCAAAATAATATATTGATCAAATAAAATTTGGAACATATTTAATTTATTATATTTTATTACTTTGGTCAAAATGTCAAACTTTTTCAAGACTATTTATAATTTTTAAGGTATTTTTAAAATGACTAGAAAAAACTAAAATTGTTGAAATTTTATATTTTATTAAATTATGAGAATTTTTAGAATAGGACTAAAGTCACTATATATTATTAAAAAAATTTATAAAGGCTTATTAACATATCCTAATAGGATACCAATAAGTCCTTGTGGGAAACATGATTGAAACATATGCAATTTCTTTACAACTTTTTTGACCTCCAATTTGGCATTTAGTTACCATCTTTTGGGCTGATTTTTCTTTTATTTTTTTTCCCATTTGGCTTTATAAGGTGTATAAAATAAATATTTATATTATGGGAGAAACAAAAAAAAAATTAATGCAATAATACAAATTGTAATGATGTATAATATAATTTAGAAAAAAAAATGAATTGACAAATTACTATATGATCATATATGCTAATATGCTAAATTTAGGGGGGAAAATAAAAAAAAAAATACAATGTTAATTTTTACAAATATGAATAAATTATTCTTTGCTTATTTACTACCATATTATTATTATCATAATTCAAAGTACTCATAATAACTGACATTTCAATATTAATTGGCATAATATAAAATTATTATTATGGTAATATTTTTAAGGTATTGAATGTTTTATAATATATATATATATATAATTTAAAAAATTCTTCATTATTTTGTTCATTCTATGTGGATTGTTATAATAATTTAAATTATGATAATATATAATCTAATAAAAAAGAGTAAAGTTGATAACTTATTATTTGATCATGATAAGTTGACTTTTTTCTTTGTTTCATTATCTTCAAATGCATCAACTTCATTAAATTAAAATTATCACAGAGCCATTTCTTTGCTGAAAATGAAATGCAAAGTAAAATAGAATACAATGTAAAAGAAATGAAATGTATTTGAAATTTTTTAAAATTGTTTGGTTGAATGTAAAATTAATGCAAATGATTATTTTTTGTGTGATTAATTTGAAATAAAATGAATTCAATATAAAATTCAATGATGGTGATGATGAGGTGGCAATAGCTAGCAGCAACGAATAATGGTGGTCAATGGAATTTTTATTTTGTTTTTTTTTTTTATGTTTAGACATGAAATTATATATGTTTGATATTATAAATATAAGATTTTTTTTTTCTTTTATTGAATATAAAATAAATTAGTTTATATGATAATGACGATCGTTTTTAGTGAGATGATGGCAGTGCTAACTAGGCACGATTATTAAGTCCTCTAACCTGACGTAGCTCTACGTTCGGCCGCCTATAACATGTCGCCACGTGCTCTCATTCTTTACCGCGCGGCTCGACAACTTGACCCGGAACGGAACCTGGGATTGCTATGTTCGCATATTGCTATGTATTACTCGGTATTTGCTCGGTATTGCTA